GATAAGCACCCATTTTTTCATGGTCTGTGTGTATAAAAACATCCTCACTGCATTTTCCACTTTTATGCATCCGATGAAGTGAGCTGTAGCTCACGAAAGCTTATGCTCAAATAAATTGGTTAGTCTCTAAGGTGCCACAAGTACTCCTTTTCTTTTTGTGAATACAGACTAACACCGCTGCTACTCTGAAACCTGTCATTATGCAAGGCACTGCATTTAACCGTATGGAGTGGAAATCCATCAACTGCATGAAAAAAACTTGTACAGATACAGACAGACATCATCTTCCTCTCCAAATGCAAACAGATGGACATCGTACCAAAAGGACTGAAGGTAAAAAATCCATTACAATCTACATACCACACAGAGTATGCTGACAGCTTGTGCCACACGCTCTCAAAGAAACTGTGGAACCACCTGATCAATATCCTCTACAGCAAACAGGGAAAGATTAAGAATGAGCTCTCAAAACTAGATACTCTCATAAAAAACCAACCTTCTACACAAACTTCCTCGTGGCTGGACTTTACTAAAACTAGACAAGCCCTTTACAACACACACTTTGCTTCTCTACAAAAGAAAAAGGACACTAAACTTTCTAAACTACTACATGCCACAAGGGGCCACAGCAATGGTTCCCTCAACCCACCCAGCAATATTGTTAATTTATCCAACTATACTCTTAGCCCAGCAGAAGAAGCTGTCCTATCTCGGGGCCTCTCCTTCTGCCCCTCCACCCCCACAAACATGATATAGTTCTGTGGTGACCTAGAATCCTATTTTCGACGTCTCCGACTCAAGGAATATTTCCAACACTCCTCTGAACAACATACTAATCCACAGAGACCTTCCTACCAACACTACAAAAAGAAGGATTCTAGGTGGACTCCTCCTGAAGGCCGAGACAGCAGACTGGACTTCTACATAGAGTGCTTCCGCTGACGTGCACGGGCTGAAATTGTGGAAAAGCAGCATCACTTGCCCCACAACCTCAGCCGTGCAGAACACAATGCCATCCACAGCCTCAGAAACAACTCTAACATCATAATCAAAAAGGCTGACAAAGGAGGTGCTGCTGTCATCATGAATAGGCCGAAATATGAACAAGAGGCTACTCGGCAGCTCTCCAACACCACTTTCTACAAGCCATTACCCTCTGATCCCACTGAGGGTTACCAAAAGAAACTACAGAATTTACTCAAGAAACTCCCTGAAAAAGCACAAGATCAAATCCTCACAGACACACCCCTGGAACCCCGACCTGGGATATTCTATCTACTACCCAAGATCCATAAACCTGGAAATCCTGGGCGCCCCATCATCTCAGGTATTGGCACCCTGACAGCAGGATTGTCTGGCTATGTAGACTCCCTCCTCAGGCCCTACGCTTCCAGCGCTCCCAGCTATCTTCAAGACACCACTGACTTCCTAAGGAAACTACAGTCCATTGGTGATCTTCCTGAAAATACCATCCTGGCCACTATGGACGTAGAAGCCCTCTACACCAACATTCCACACAAAGATGGACTACAAGCCATCAGGAACACTATCCCCGACAATGTCACAGCAAACCTGGTGGCTGAACTTTGTGACTTTGTCCTCACCCATAACTATTTCACATTTGGAGACAATGTATACCTTCAGATCAGCGGCACTGCTATGAGTACCCGCATGGCCCCACAGTATGCCAACATTTTTATGGCTGACTTAGAACAACGCTTCCTCAGCTCTCGTCCCCTAATACCCCTACTCTACTTGCACTATATTGATGACATCTTCATCATCTGGACCCATGGAAAAGAAGCCCTTGAGGAATTCCACCAGGATTTCAACAATTTCCATCCCACCATCAACCTCAGCATGGACCAGTCCACACAACAGATCCACTTCCTGGACACTATGGTGCTAATAAGCGATGGTCACATAAACACCACCCTATACTGGAAACCTACTGACCGCTATTCCTACCTACATGCCTCCAGCTTTCACCCAGACCACACCACACGGTCCATTGTCTACAGCCAAGCTCTACGATACAACCGCATTTGCTCCAACCCCTCAGACAGAGACAAACAACTACAAGATCTCTATCAAGCATTCTTACAACTACAATACCCACCTGCTGAAGTGAAGAAACAGATTGACAGAGCCAGAAGAGTACCCAGAAGTCACCTACTACAAGACAGGCCCAACAAAGAAAGTAACAGAATGCCACTAGCCGTCACCTACAGCACCCAACTAAAACCTCTCCAACGCATTATCAAGGATCTACAACCTATCCTGAAGGACGATCCCTCACTCTCACAGACCTTGGAAGACAGGCCAGTCCTGCTTACAACAGCCCCCCAACCTTTAGCAACTACTCACCAGCAACTAAACACCACACAACAAAAACACCAACCCAGGAACCAAACCCTGCTACAAACCCCGGTGCCAACTCTGTCCACATAACTATTCAAAGGACACAATCATAGGACCTAACCACATCAGCCACATCATCAAGGGCTCGTTCACCTGCACATCTACCAATGTGATATATGCCATCATGTGCCAGCAATGCCCGTCTGCCATGTACATTGGCCAAACGGGACAGTGTCTACGCAAAAGAATAAATGGACACAAATCTGACATCAGGAATCATAACATTCAAAAACCAGTAGGAGAACACTTCATTATCTCTGGTCACTCAATAACATACCTAAAAGTGGCAACTCTTCAATAAAAAAACTTCAAAAACAGACTCCAATGTGAAGCTGCAGAGCTGGAATTAATTTGCAAACTGGATACCAACAGATAAGGTCTGAACAGAGACTGGGAGTGGTTGGGTCATTACAAAACCTAAACTCAATTTTCCCAATACTAATTTCTCCCTACTGTTACTCGCACCTTCTCATCAACTGTCTGTAATGGGCCACTCTTACCACTTCAAAAGTTATTTTTCCTCCCTTGGTATCCTGCTGTTAATTGATTTATCTTGTTAGACTGACCTCACACTTGGTAAAGCAACCCCTGTCCTTTCATGTATTTATACCTGCTTTTGTATTTTCACTCCATGCATCTGGTGAAGTGGGTTCTAACCCATGAAAGTTTATGCCCAAATAAATTTGTTAGTCTCTAAGGTGCCACAAGGACTCCTCATTATTTTTATAATATCTAAGGGAACCTTTCACAGCAAACAAAATGAATTTAAAATAGAGCAAATAAAAAATGTAAGCAGAACAGAAAGGATATTACCTCTATTCACTACAGCATGCATTTTTACAGATTAATGCAATTTGGGCTATTTTAATCTCGCTCTGCCTCAGTTTCCTCAAATACAAAAAGGTGTTTGAGATCTATGGATTAAAAACTGAGTTACACAAGTGCTAGGTATATATATTCACTGTCTACAAAATGCTGCAGAGCTAGGGTCATCATAGTTGTTCTTATCGTGTAACCCAGAGGTTCTCAAACTGGGGGTCGGGACCCCTCAGGGGGTCGCAAGGTTCTTACATGGGGAGTCGCAAGCTGTCAGCCTATCCCCCAAACCCTGCTTTGCCTCCAGCATTTATAATAGTGTTAATATATAAAAACTTTTTTTAATTTATAAGGGGGAAGGGAGTCGCACTCAGAGGCTTGCTGTGTGAAAAGGGTCACCAGTACAAAAGTTTGAGAACCACTGGTATACCTCTTTGAATCTCTGCACTGGCTTACCTTCTGCTAAGTGCTCCAAATTCAAACTTCCTGTCACCGCTTTCAGAGCTCTATATTACTTTGCCCCTTTTACTGTTTCCCATTGCCCCTCCACTCCAGGAGTAATGTCAGTTTATCACATGACTGTCTGCATGCTTTCTTCCGTACTGCTCCTACTCCATGTTCAAGCCTTCCTTTGTTCACCCACAAAGCCCCTATCTTCTCCATATTTCTCCTCTCTTGAAGAGGCTCTTCTGTCTTTCTACCAATGGAGTTTCTATTTGATTTATACTGACATGAAGATTGATTAAAAAAAATAAATGAACATAACCTTATTTTGTTGAGACCTGGTAACCCACCACTTGGAACATAGTACTTTGTGTTAAATCTCTTCCCCCAAGCTCCATCTGTTTGTTTATGTCTATCGTAAGACTGTGAGCTCCCCATTCATTCTTGTCTCTCTAGAAAATACTTTGCCTACCGTGGATGTTATTATAAACAAATACATAATAATTACTACATACAATACCACTCTAAAACAGTGCATGGCATGCCTGTACACAACTCCACTACCAAGTACATAATAAGAGTTTTCATTTTATATAATTGAATTTTTTAAACCTTCAGTTCTCCCTTTGAGAATAAGGTTATCAGATTCACCAATAGCTAAACAAGCATATAAAGTATCTAATGTTAACAGTGGGATCCTCTTTACTGTTGTACGTTTCTTTTAAAAACATGAAACCAGTTATCAGTACAGTAATTTATATCAATTTAAAAAGCATTGGAAATGTATTTTAAAAAAACAAATAAGATGTTTTTAGAGACAGTCTGCATACTAAACCTTTCAGACCAGTTATGTGGGATTTAGTGTCAACTATTTTATATTTAAATGCATTGAGACTGTGTTGCTGCAGTCTAATTTTTAAATTTTCAATTTCAGTCCATTCAAAGTAACTCCGGGTAATAGAGACAGGTTTTTTCCCTGTCCAGAGTCAATAATTTGTAATCCCATGCCTACTAACACAATCAATGGAAGTTTTAATTTTAGTTTTTTTAATATTCCAACAGAACAATATTACTCAATGGCAATATATTGCAGTTTTGTATATATGTCTATAAAAATGTTCTATTTTAAAATTTTGGGGTCACACTTCTGATATCTTTAATAATTCAGCTACATGAATACTGTTAAAAGCATCAAACTAGAATTGGTAATTTCATGCCTCTCTGTCTTCATGGGAAATAATCAACCAAAAGAGAGAAAACTGTAGCATAAACAAGATATATAAAAGTTTAACTAAAATGAACATAAAAATGCCACTAACCCAAAGCATGAACTGTTCCTCTATTCTTCTTTGAAATCTTGCTTGTCTTAATTATATGTAGAGCATTTTCTTTGAACTGCAGTTCACAAAGTCTTTCAAGAAGAATTGTTATTTCTTCTGTGACGGTACCCAGATAAGTTTCATTAATAAATGTCAGTGTTGAGGAAGGATCTATAGTACCACTTAGTATATACAAATCCTCTTTTATCATTGTGCATAGTGTAGGTATTGAACTTTGGTAACCATGAACCACCTTATCAAAGTTTGTTTCACCACAGCTAGATAGAACACAGTTCTGCAGAAGCTCAGAAACTAATTTATTCTGCAAGTTTTGGTACTTGGTTAGAACTTCTGATTCTGGATATAGAAACAAAAGTTGTTGTATGCATTGAGCTTTAAATTGCATTTGCTGTTTTAAAGTATCAGTATTTGTTTCATGAGGTCCCTGAAGTCTATTTACTAAAAAACGTCGAAGGTGTAATCTCACATCATCCCAAACAGACTTGATATTCATAGATGAATCATCCTCAATGGCATGAAGAGAAGCTCTGGATGTTATCTCAAAAGATGTCTCACTTGGAGTACATGGAAATGCGACCCCACACTGACTGGAGAGATCCAGAAGAAAGCGTAGTATCATTTCTTCTTGATTTTGTTCATTCCTCAGCAAGCTTTGCTAATAATGGTAAATTATATAGTATTTAGAGATGTCGCATGAATAACTCTATTTACAAAATTAACTTTGTGTTAAAAGATGCACATTATTTTTAAGTGCAAACTACAAAATGATAATATCTTAGCATTTAACTTGATTTCTCCAAATCCCCTCATGTTAGCCCAGGCACAGACTATAAATTCTCTTATAAATAAAGAGAAATGGGAAAAAAAGCAGTTTTTCTGATGTCACTTTTTTTATAAAATGGGTGTCTGGTGACTTTGTTCAGTTAAAGATTCCCTAAGCAATGACAACCATAAATAACTGAAACACACACAGGAAAACTTTCAGAAACTCAAACTCAATTTCATCAATACAATAAGGTATTGTCTGGGCTGGCATACAAGGATTTGGAGTAACCAAACCAACAGGTAAGAACATGCATCAGCATTCCCTCTATGCCTTTCCAGATAGTATTCATTCTAAAAACATAGGATAGATACCTAGAAAAACAAAGACTTATGAATCATACTACATAGGAACCACCTACCATTGGCAGAGACTGTAATATAAAATCTGTCATGACATGATCATGTAAAAACATCCATCGTGTTGCTGGTAAAAAATTTTTCGTTGAAATATTTTTTCATGATAAAATGACTGCACCGAAAATGTTGACAGAAATTTTCAAAGAAAAAAGTTCTGTTGTCTTTTTTAACTAGTAAACAAATGTTTTTCACTTAAAATTTTCATTTTTGAGTTAATATTTGGTAAAAATATTCAGCTCTCAGTTTTTGAAAACCAAATAGAAATTTGTAGGTTTTTGTTTCAGATTTTCACTGGAAAAAACCCAGGATATTTAAAATATATATATTTAAAATTTCCTGTGAAAAATAACTCGCATTTTTCTATCAGCTCTACCTCGCAGTTCTAAAGGGAAAGCACCAACTCTCATAGCTATCAGTTAAGCCTTGGCAGAAGATGGAGCCTTTTTACTCTGGTTAGCATACCCATCCTGGAAGGCAAATGAGAATCAAGTCAAAATAATTAATTTGAGACTTGGCTGGGGGGGGGGGGAATGATAGCTATTGCTCATGACAAACTTGGTAGGAATTCATAAAATAGAAACCTTGTGCTTTCCCTGTTCTTCTGGCTCAGCACTAACCATCATAAAGGCAGTTCTAAGGATAAATAAATCTTCCCAATACCATCTTGAAGGACTCAAAGAGAGGATCTGATAAGGGATTTAGCATCAGCATTGAGATCCTACAGGACAAGGTGGGGGGCATCATGTACTTGTCCTGGTTAGATGAGAACTGATACATTAACAGGTGCCAGGCTGAAATTACATTTCAGCTATATCAGTAAGGGAGAAAGAAAGGAAGCAAGTATGGAGCTGACAAAGTAATAGGACTGCATGTATTGTTTTACTTCAACTGAAAAGGCCTCTAATGACCAGTAGGATCAAAGTTCTGGTCTCATAGCTATTTATGATACAATGGGACATATTGCAACCAGAGGGCTCTGTTCTCCCAGAATAAGCTCTTCTAATTGCACGTAGCCAGACCTTGGTTTGTCCAACTTTCTCTAGAGTAAAGCTGGTTGAGAATATTTCAGCGAACCATTATTTTTTGTCAGAAAATGCTGATTTGTCAAAACCAAAAGTTTTTGTGAAAAAGGTCAGTTTTGATGAATTTCCCATTTTGAAAACATAGTTTTGAAGTTGTTAAAAGTTCTGTTTTGACATTTTCTAAATGAAAAAAAAATCAATTCTGGGGGTCAAAATGACATTTTGCTTCAAAGGTAAGTTAATTTATAGTAAAAAAACCTAAAAGGAAGGTCAATATCAAAACAAGACATTTTGATTGACCTGATCAAATTTATTTGAGGGATTTTCAGTTCAAAGACATTTCTGAGATGTTGATGGGACTGGCTGGGACATTACTCATATTGAATCTATTTCACCAGCTTAAGTATCCTTACACCTTCTTGTCAACTGTCTAAATGGGCCATCTTGATTATCACTACAAACTTTCCCCCCCCTCCTGCTGATAATAGCTCATCTTAATTAATTAGCCTCTTACAGTTGGTATGGCTACTTCTACCTTTTCATGTTCTCTGTATGTGTGTAAGGTATATATCTATCTTCTTACTATATATTCCATTCTATGCATCCGATGAAGTGGGCTGTAGCCCACAAAAGTTTATGCTCAAATAAATTTGTTAGTCTCTAAGGTGCCACAAGTACTCCTGTTCTTTTTGCGGATACAGACTAACACGGCTGCTATTCTGAGACTTGAATCTGAGTCTCTCACATCCCAAACAAGTACCCTAACCACTGGGCTATAGTCTCTCTGGTTATTATTTATACCAAAAAAAGAGAGATACTCATTTATACCAAAATGAGAAAGAAAGATACCAACTCTTTTATTCTAATTCTGTTCCATATTCACTCTTGTGAAACTATAAAAGTAAAAAAAGAATACATTAATAGCAGAAAAATAAAAAAAATGTATAAGTATTTTTTCCCCAAATATATATAAACTGTAGAAGTTTTTTTTTTTTTTTACCAGGGTTTTAAGAAATTCAATCAACTCTCCATGAGGTGTAGAAGAAGGTTTGAGGGAACTGAAACTGCAGTTATTCAACCAGTGAAGGCAGTTAGTTGTGTTTTGTAACAGCTCATCAGTACAAGTCTCATTTACTTCTGATTGTAGCTCTTTAAGGCATTGTTCCACACTAAAAACAAAATAAAAAAAACAAGCATTCAAACTTTTTTCCATTATTTAAAGATGAACTTTTTTATATAGCATATCTTTTCAAGAAAGGAAAATACTTTAAATGTATATAACATTATAACATATGTGATACAATGCTTCAGAATATCAAGTCTGAATCTCCAGGACTAACATTTCTAAATGGAGTGGGACTAGATCTATAGTACATTTTCTTAGGACCAGAGTCCACCAGCCTTATTCAAATTAAGTAGTACTTTGATCCTCACATATTCCCATATTTTTCAGTAAGACTACTTGCAAAGTAAGGCTTTACTCAACATAAGACCGACTGGATTTGGCCCTTATGATTAGGTGGATAAAGAAAGTAAGCAGAATGAACGACTGCATTCACAGCTAAATGTGACATTCTGCTTCTGCAGCAATCAGCAGTTGTTTTATAACATATCATATACTATAGCAGTTACTTACAGATGACACCTCACCGAAAAACTTGAAAATAATTTTAGAGACATTTCTGCTGGTAAAGCAAATATTTTCTTTCCCTTTTCCTCACTAGAATATTTGAATGAAAAATAAAATATTTGTTTCTTAGGAGTTGATCTACTACTGTTCCTTACTCTTACCTAAAATCATAACTTTGTTTGTGACATCACAAGTGCTTGGTATGAAAATCATCAGGGTTTCAGGTTGGGAGAAACTAGAATAATCTTCTACTCCTTAGAAACAAAGATTCTGTTTCCATGAAAATGTCTCCAGAACCAGAAAAAGGAGGAAAAGGAAGAAAAATGTCCCTTAGAGATAGCCCCATTTCTATATCATTTCCTAAATCAAATATTTTTCAATGTTTCCCTTGAGCATCTAATACTCTTAAATAAGAAAATATTAAATATCAGTTAGATTTTGGTCTTACAAAAATCAGAACCAGCAGTGGCGTGGATCAATGGTGGTTTAAAAAAAATGGGAAAACTAACCTTGTGGGTGTTCCAGACCGCACAGTGGCCATATTTCCCAAATGAGAAGTGGGTACACCCATGTTTACCCTGGACTACTTTACTGGTTTGGATCCAAAATCTGTTTTATCAAAATCAGGGATGATTTTGATTATATACATGTTTTCAGTTTGGATTATCTTTTTTCTGATTCTGTTTATTTATTGCAAGTGAAAAGTTCATGGTACCACACACACATATGCCTTAACAGCTATGTTACTGGTCCCTATTCCACTTCTGTATTGAGTACCTATGGTTATGGGGCATTTAACAGGGGTTAGAGCAGCAAAGTGCATATGCAAGCAGATGGAGAGTTCAATCCCACATATCTGAAAACTCTTTTTTGTAAGATTTATTAATATTTAAAGTTAGTCATCAGCTGCTAATGGTTTTTGGAGAGACAGCAAAAACCAGAGTATGTGCATGTTCTCCCACATATGCAGGTGTGTATCAGGAGGTGCCCCCAAGTGTGAGAGGCAATTCAGAGGTAAGTGGGGACAAAGTCAGTAGTCATTAGGTAGCCAATTTAAGGGAAAAAAAGGTTTCTAAATATTGTAACCAGAAATAAGGTGCATTCATAACAGGACTATGAAGTTGCACTGACAGCAATTATCATTAAACTATTGTGTTAATAAACATATATTACACACAAAACCTGGCCATCCAAATGCAACCACTACAATTATATTCCTAACTCTTCAATCTAACCATCTAACCCCCATTTTGTACACTTTCATTCCACTTCAAGACCCTACATACATATCCCTAGCCTATGCTACTGACTTTATCTCTTACCTCCATTCTCCAAGGGCTTTCTCACTCTTTCAATGATTTCAAGGTTCGTGGTTTGTCCATTTTCTACTCCAACATCCAAATTTGGAAAAGTGTTATAGTGTAAGAGAAAAAGAATGAATCTCTGTAATATTTCAAAACTTCCGCAACTTAAAAAAGTTACTGTGATTTGGCAGCTCTGTAACTTTTTAAAAGTTGAGGAATTTTTTTAAATGTTGCAGAGTTTCATATTTTCCTTTTGCCACTTGGTAACCAAAAGTTCAGCAAGTTTTAAAAAGCTAGAGAGCAGGAAAAGAAAAGAAAGGGAAAAAGGAAAAAAACAAACATAAAATCTAGGTATCATTTACTTTATTGCAGCAGTTTTCAACTTTTTTTCATTTGTGGACCCCTAAAAAATTTTGAATGGTGCAGACCCCTTTGGAAATCTTAGAGATAGTCTGCAGACCCCAGGGCTCCGCAGACCACAGTTGAAAACCACTGTTCTATGTTAACGACAACCCTCTGTGGATGGCTTGTGACATTACACTGCTTATTCATCATAGTAATATTGTTATGGCATAATTATGATGCATTTTGTACAAGATGGGTCATGTAAGGTGTCATTTGAAAAATTATTATTTTCTGGATATGACTATCCTATTTATATGCATATACCAATTTTGTATCTGAAGTTATGAATATTGATTATGGATCTGTATTTCAAATAGGCTTACTCTGGAAAACACCCACAGACAGTCTTTCAGGTACAACAATGAAGAAGCCAAACAGTGTTAATGGCTCATCAACAAAGACAATGGGCTGTGGAATAGCTTACCCTTCCTGTGGATGTTTCGGCCAGCCTGTAAGTAATAGCTGCTATGACTCTGCAAGGGCATGTGACTAGACCAGGTCTCTGGACTCCATTCTGGGTGCCTGTGTTTCTCCACAAACTAAGGCAGGGAGTGACATCATTTGTTGTTCTTCACTCCCCCACAACTCAACACTTGAGAGAAGCTCCAAAAGAAAGGGGAGGGGAGGTGATAGGGGAAAAGGGAATCCCAAGCTGCAAAACAAGTGCAGCTTGTGCCTTGAGAATCTGCAAGCCTACTTGTATCATCAGGCAGGGTGAGAAATTGTTAATTCAAATCCTATCCTTCTAGTATGTTAAACTTAGTTAATAAACTTGTTTTATATTTTAACCTAAACCAGTGTGCCTTTAAGTGAAGTGTCTGGGGAAAATCTCAGCTTAATTACCACAAGTGTGCATATTCCTCTACACATTGAGGGACAGGCGAACCGAGTAATAAATTCATACTGGTCAGGGTTTTGACCAGGGTAGGACAGTATAGCTTTGGGGTCCTAGGCTTTGAAGCTGGGGGTAATCTTGGCTGTAGCCTTTCTATTGTTGGTTCATGCAGTGGCTGGTCAAAGCCTGCATATAACCACAGCTGGCTGTGTCCCTGCCTGTGTAAATGCTGGTGGAAGTGTAAGACCAGGAGCAGTCTAGAGATTATCACAGCAGCACAGTGTGAGGGGAAACCCAGGCTGGTCAGTCAGAGGACTCAGTGGCACCCCAGTTCCAGGTGGCACCCCTGGGGGAAACCGGTCACACCTCTGCTACATGGTCTGCAGACCCACAAGGGTCTGTGGACAACAGGTTGAAAACCACTACTGTACTACATTGAGTAACAAAAATGGAAAAAATCAAAAATGTATATAATCAGTTTTCAAAAACCAAAGTGACACAGCTTTTTTGCTTAATTTAAATGATTGATTTCTTTTTGTTGAAAACAATCTATGAAAAATGTAATTTTCCATGTGTCATAAATATAAAGGGAAGGGTAAACCCCTTTGAAATCCCTCCTGGCCAGGGGAAAGCTCCTCTCACCTGTAAAGGGTTAAGAAGCTAAAGGTAACTTCGCTGGCACCTGACCAAAATGACCAATGAGGAGACAAGATACTTTCAAAAGCTGGGAGGAGGGAGAGAAACAAAGGGTCTGTGTGTCTGTCTATATGCTGTTTTCTGCCTGGGATAGACCAGGAATGGAGTCTTAGAACTTTTAGTAAGTAATCTAGCTAGGCATGTGTTAGATTATGATTTATTTAAATGGCTGAGAAAAGAATTGTGCTAAATAGAATAACTAATTCTGTCTGTGTATCTTTTTTGTAACTTAAGGTTTTGCCTAGAGGGGTTCTCTATGTTTTTGAATCTAATTACCCTGTAAGATATCTACCATCCTGATTTTACAGGGGGGATTTCTTTATTTCTATTTACTTCTATTTTTATTAAAAGTCTTCTTGTAAGAAAACTGAATGCTTTTTCATTGTTCTCAGATCCAAGGGTTTGGGTCTGTGGTCACCTATGCAAATTGGTGAGGCTTTTTATCCAACATTTCCCAGGAAAGGGGGGGTGCAAGTGTTGGGAGGATTGTTCATTGTTCTTAAGATCCAAGGGTCTGGGTCTGTAGTCACCTAGGCAAATTGGTGAGGCCTTTTACCAAACCTTGTCCAGGAAGTGGGGTGCAAGGTTTTGGGAAGTATTTTGGGGGGAAAGACGCGTCCAAACAGCTCTTCCCCAGTAACCAGTATTAGTTTGGTGGTGGTAGCGGCCAATCCAAGGACAACGGGTGGAATATTTTGTACCTTGGGGAAGTTTTGACCTAAGCTGGTAAAGATAAGCTTAGGAGGTTTTTCATGCAGGTCCCCACATCTGTACCCTAGAGTTCAGAGTGGGGGAGGAACCTTGACACCATGAAAGCAAGCAAAAACTTAGTCAAAAATTTTCAGTTTGCTCTAAAAAGACAGCTATTAAGTGGCAAAAAACTTCAGACAGTACTAACTCAGGCTGAGTTAGTAGTGAACCAGAAATCAGACATGAAAGGTCATTGCTATAACCCACCCAGTGATCATATATTTATCTTTAAATTTTGGTTGCAATAACCTCTTAAAAGCATTACTTTTCTAATGTACTTTTTCATCTTACATTTAGCAAACATTTAAAATTTACCTTTTTCATTTATTGTGCATCATAACCAACCTTCCTTTATCTCATTTATTGCCTTATTCTGATCAGCAACAGTGATCTCACCAATATCATCTCATAGCTCTGGGAACTGGGTTTGTTAATGCGTATATATTTTTTCATTGGATTTTGTGGTGGGAAGGGAAATTATAAATGAACTGGTAAAAACAATGATGGATAAATAGTAACTAATAATTTGTTGTTGTTGTTTTCCTTTAC